ATTAAAAACCTGTGGTACATCTACACAATGGAATACTACGCTGCTGTAAAAAATAAGGAACTCTTACCATTTGCAACAGCATGGACAAACCTGAAGAGCATTATGCTAAGCGAAATAAGCCAGTCAGAAAAATATAAATATCACATGATCTCACTCATTTGTGGAATATAATGAACAACATAAACTGATGAACAAAAATAGAGCCGGGGAAAAAAATATTTTAGAATATAATATAAGTAATCCTGTTATTTGCAGATTTTTAATATTTCCTACAACTTTTGTGATACTATAATATGTTAGTACAGTTTTGGTAATATTATATTTAAAATATTTATTTCTGGAAATATTGTTTATTACATGTAATATTATATTTAAAATTGTTTTTCTTGAAATATTAATGCTTATTGCATGTAAATGGTTAATTATTTTGTGTCTACAATCTGGTAATAGATTTATTTTGTATATTAGAGGCCCGGTGCACGAATTCATGCATGGGTGAGGTCCCTTGGGGTGGCCTACGGGGATCGGGCCCCAGCTCCTGCCCCCAGGCTCGCAGCCCTAGCTCGCGCCCCCAGCCTCACAGCCCCGCCTGGCACCCCGCTGTGGCCTGTCGCTGCCCCCTCAACTATTCCACCATACCACCTACTAGGTGGTCAATCAGGGCTGGAACCCCTGCCCAGCTCCCTCAGGGCCTGGGAGCCAGGAGGCAGCCCCGCCTCCCACCGCTGCCACTGTTTGTGGTCTGCAGGACGATTGCAGGGGGGGGGGCAGCTCCCTCAGCATCTGGGAGCTGGGTGGCAGCCCCGGCCCTGCCCCCTGCCGCTGGTCGCCGTCTGCAGGGCAATCAGGCCCCTGCTCACACCCGTCTTGGCCTGGCACTGCCAGCTCACCTGCTCCACCATCCCACCATGGTCCCACTCTTTTCAGGGCCCATCAGGGCTGGAAGTGCCTCCACTGCCACCCACTGCCAGCGCCGCCAACACCTACCATGTTCCACGCCTCCCCCTGGTGGTCAGCGCACGTCATAGCAAGCGGTCAAACTTCTGGTCGAACAATTTGCATATTAGGCTTTTATTATATATGCTTGTAAAATATTAAAAATTAAAAACATTAACCATCTCAATAGCTACTAATCATCCCTGAGGAGAGTGGCCAGCACTTTCTCCTTGGTCTACAGCTAACCAAGTGAACCTCTGCATCACTATTTCAGGTCCTAGTAATCACAATGCACTAAGGAAATTAAAAGATCAAGAATTTCTTAATGACTATATACCCAGTATTGATTAACTATAAGGCACAGTATCTGTCCTAAGGGAACATATATATTAGTTAGGGAGACAAGAGATACACATAGGAACAGGTACAGAAAAAGGAATACAAGTGAGTAAATATGGGATTATATCTCCACCAGGAAGTCTCTGTAGGGCTGGGAAACCCTTGGAGGCGCAACAGTAACTCAAAGAGTGATTTCAAAAAGTTCGGGCTAAAATAAATGTTTACTGGGACTCATCACCTAAACTTATATAAAAGATGTGAGTGAAGTCAGAAGGCTGAGGTTCCAGGCTCACTAAATCTTTCAATTGTCCAATAACTATGGGCAAAATCACTTGAAATTTCTGTACTTCAGTTTTCTTACTTAGAAAATGATGTATTTCAGCCTGTCCTTAATTTACAAAATATGGTAATACATCTGCTCTATCTCCCTCACATAGCTGGTATTCAGAGAAGATCCAATGAGATAATGTTTATGCAACCAAATGGTTATGTAATTGTAAAAGATAAATATTGTTATCATTGGGGTATTTATTATGCATAAGCTGGGGGAAAAAGATTAGGGCTGTAGGTTTGTTTGACTTTATAGTTGAAGAGGGCCATCTTTAAAATTTTAGATTTACATACTTTATATTAGTTAATTAACTTATACATTATAGTAATCTTTCAATCATAAGATTGTTTTAAACAATACAATGAAAGACTATGACTCATTTTCAAAATCTATTTTCTGGCCATGTTGGACTATAATTCTTTGACTTTCTGTCATCACACATGTAGAGATTAGAGATTCAAAATAGGCTCACAAAATAAAAATAAAGTTAAAGCAAGATTCTTTTATTTTATTATTTAATTCTACACCCTTACATAAATGATGCACATTTGGGAGTACAATCTTCTGGATGCTTAGGAATGTGGAGAGGTTGAGGGAAACGTAAAACTTTCATGCCTAAAATTTCACTAATTGATCCTACAAAAACAAACTCCAACACCTTCTATCTCTATATATAAAAGCCTAAGCGACCGAACAACCAATTGACAGGTTGCTATGACAAGCACTGATCACCAGGGGACAGATGCCCAACGCACAGGATCAGGCTCCCTCCTGTCTGGATTGGGCCTGTGGAGGTCGGGCTGAACCCGGCTCTCCAACATCCCCCAAGGGATCCTGGATTGCAAGAGGGTGCAGGCCAGGCCGAGGGACCCCACGAGTGCACGAATCTGTGCAATGTGGAGAGGTTGAAGGAAACGTAAAATTTTCATGCCTAAAATTTCACTAATCGATCCTACAAAAACAAACTCCAACACCTTCTATATACATATAAAAGCCTAAACAACGGTCCGACCCATAGCTATGACGCGCAATGACCACCAGAAGGCAGACACTCCGACCAGTAACTATGATGCACACTGACCACCATAATGCTCTCCAGTTCCATCCATGCTGCTGCAAATGATAAGAATTCCTTCTTTTTTATAGCAGCGTAGTATTTCATTGTGTAGATGTACCACAGTTTTCTAATCCACTCATCTGCTGATGGGCACATAGGCTGTTTACAAATCTTAGCTATTGTAAATTGTGCTGCTATGAACATAGGGGTGCATATATCCTTTCTGATTGGTTTTTCTGTTTTCTTGGGATATATTCCTAGAAGTGCTATTACTGGGTCAAATGGCAGTTCCATTATTAAATTTTTGAGGAAACGCCATACTGTTTTCCACAATGGCTGCACCAGTCT